GGTCAGTCCATTTGGAAGTCCTCCCAGAGGACTGATCATGCCGGAACCAATTACTGGCTTCTTTTCCTAGGAGCCCTGAATCTGAACTTGTATGTCTCAGTGTTTCATAATCTTGTCTTCAATTTTGCAGTTCCCCCTAGGGCTGCTATTATATTATTGTCATTGGCCTGAATCCCGGTGCTAGTTCTCAGTAGAGTAGACCCATTGAATCATTGAGACTTATCAATGGATTGACTCACCATTCAACAATTGATTCAATGACTCTTCTCTACTTGGGGCTAACCAACAGAATTCAAGCCCCCACTCCTCTTCTCCCACATTCACCCCAATTTCTCCTTGGAAATGGTCATAGGGTCAACTGAGTATAGAATGGACCCAATGAGTTGTGTTTGTGGTGGACTAATGAGAAGAAGACTTAAATACGCTGCAGGTCCCAGACCCCATCTGAGCTGGGAAGAAGCTAAGCTCAGTGAGCTCTGGGCTGACTGATCCTTGGATGGGAGATTATTTATTCATTTATTTCCAGGATTTATATCCCGCCTTTCTCCCACAATGGGATTCAAGGCAGGATTGCCAAAGAACACCAGCTGCCATAGACTGTATTCCAGACTTGAAGGCACATACACACTATTAGAACAAGTATGTAAGCATGTCAGTAACACTAAGAATGAAGCAAAAACACTGCATTGTTACCACATGCATTTGGCCAACAGTAATTGTGAATATCCCATTGTTTCCTTGTGTTGAATAAATTATTTTGTTTAGGAAGGAGACCTAAGTCTATGAAAGCTAATGCTCCAATGTCTTTCACTCAGTCTAAATAAAAGATATTACAAGACCCTTTTGTATGGTGAGGAGGTTATTGATAAGGTTGGATATTGTGCATCTCTGGTGGGAGCAATTTAGAATCATAGAATCATAGAATTGGAAGATACTCCCAAAGGCCATCCAGTCCAACGTCATTCTGCCATGCAGGAACTCCCAATCAAAGCATCCCCAACAGATGGCTATCCAGCCTCTGTTTAAAGACCTCCAAAAGAGAGACTCCATCATCCTCCGAGGGAATGTGTGTTCCACTGTCAAACAGCTCTCACTGTCAGGAAAGTCTTCCCAATGTTAAGGTAGAATCGCTTTTCCTATAGCTTGCATCCATTGTTCTAGTCTTTGGAGCAGCAGAAAACAAGCTTGCTCCATCCTCAGTAGGACATCCCTTCAAGTATTTAAACATGCCTATCAAGTTCCCTCTTAACTTTCTGTTCATAGACTCATTGATTCATAGAGTTGGAAGAGACCCCAAAAGGCCATGCAATCCAACCCCATTCTGCCCTGCAGGAAGACACTGTCCAAGCCCTCCTCCCTGGGACAGGTGGCCATCCAGCCTCTGCTTTAAAACAGCCTCCAAAGAACACTCCACCACATCAGTGTCTTCCACTGTCAAACAGTTCTTCCAATTGTAGCTTGCATCCATTGCTCCATATCTTAGTCTCTGGAGCAGCAGAACACAAGCTTGGATCACCAGAAGAGGGTTACACAAGGGGATGCGGGTGGGACAAGTAGAGGCTGCCACAGGGGCCACTCCATCCTCTTTAGGAAGAGGGTCCCAGAGCCTGGAGGCCTCCACCAAGGAGGCCCTGCCTCCCATGTTCCCACCAGATGTGCTTATGATGGGGATCACAGAATCATAGATTCATAGAATCATAGAGTTGGAAGAGACCCCAGGGCCATCCAGTCCTACCCCAAAGTACTATGCAGGAACTCCCAATCAAAGCATCCCCGACAGATGGCCATCCAGACTCTGTTTAAAGACCACCAAAGAAGGAGACTCCACCACAATCTCCGAGGAAGGAGTGTGTTTCATTATCAAACAGCTCTTACTGTTAGGAAGTTCCTCCTAATGTTGAGCTGGAATCTCTTTTCCTGGAGCTTGCATCCATTGTTTCGGGTCCTAGTTTCTGGAGCACCAGAGAACAAGCTTGCTCCCTCCTCAATAGGACATCCTTTCAAATATTTTAAAAGGGCTATCATATCCCCTCTTAACTGTCTCTTCTCCAGGCTAAACATACCTAGTTCCCTAAGTCCTTCCTCGTAGGGCTTGGTTTCCAGACCCTTCACCATTTTAGGCACTGTCCTCTGGACACGCTCCAGTTTTTCAATATCTTTTTTGAATTGTGGTGCCCAGAACTGGACACAGTATTCCAGGTGGTGATGCTCATCATTAGTTTGTTGTTCTCTGCCTTGATCCATGGGGAGAAATTACTACTACTTCTACTACTACTACTACTACTACTAAGACTTTAAATCATGCCCAGAAATGGACCTGCAGCCAGTGGAGCTGTTGCCACAAAAGAGTATGTGCTCCCTATAGCTAGAATCTGTATAATAGCCATTCTGGCTGCAGCTCTTTGGACCATCTGATGTTTCCAAACTCTCTTCAAAGGCAGCCCCACATGGAGTGCATGACAGCAATCCAAAAATTATGTATTCTTTTGAGCAGATCCTGTGCTTCCAGCTTCCATCCAACCTCTTTTCCCCAAGGACCCAATCTCTGTACCTTGTTATTCTTCTGCCCCCATTTCCCCATGCTTGCCTCCTGCCTGCTATCTTGGTGGCCTCACCTTTGGTCTCCCTGCCTTCTCCTGCAAAGGTCTGGCTGTTTGGGAGTTTCTCTCCACCAGGTATGACACATGGCGGCCTGTTTGCATCCTCTGGGGAGTTTCTGTCACTCCTGTTCCCTCTAGCAGACTTTCATGCTTTGCTATTGCAGTCACATCCCAAGAGATTTGGGATTGCTCAAGGTGCCTCCAAGAGGTCTCTGGAAGGCAGGACAAAGAGGACCCAGTGGTACTGCTGCTGGACATTTCCCCCTGGAACATAAACAGGCAGGAAAGGGACTCTCCAAATTGCTCAACTTTTCATATGCAACACAGACGGAACCAGAGTCCACAAAATTCTGCCAGAAGCATCCCAGCCTCGGTTTAACAGGGCAAGTGCTTAGCAAGCAGATCACAGAACAGAAATGAAAATCTTCATCAAATCCATGGTCAGAGGCAACAGTAAATAATTTTATCATGTTCCTCCTTGCTACGAGAAAGTCTTTAAAGGGCTCGTTCCCACTTACATTTAAACCGGTTTGCAATTCGCCTTCACTCCGTGTCGGAGAACCGATTCCAAAAGGTCCGTTGTTCCTACTATGAAAGTGGATCTTTTCATTGTGGTTCCCAGATGTCAATCATCTGTGCATCATTGGGGACGCAAGCGGCAACATGATGAGGATGGGGCTGTTCCAGGCGCCAAACGGTCAACTTTAGGAACTGAGCCTTCCTCTGCCCCTCAGCAACCCAGGATGTTCAAGCACACCATTTCCCCTTTGAGCAGCCTGACTTGGTATATATAATTGACAGGCTATGTCAGGGGTTGGTAACCTATGGCCCCGCGGGCCATACCCGGCCCGCC